CCCTTCCTGGTCTGGCATGCTCACCCCGAGAACACTTTTTCCTTGGGACCCATCACTCGACAAACCCTTCGCCCAGACCCTACCCACGCCCCCCACCCGGCCCCTGCCTCGTCTGGCATTCTCACCCCGAGAGAACTACCTTCTTGGGACCCTCCACTCGACAAATTCTGGCCCAGAACCTACCCACGCCCCCCACCTGGCCCCTGCCTCGTCTGGCACTCTCACCCCGAGAGAACTACCTTCTTGGGACCCTCCACTCGACAAATTCTACTCTTGGGACCCCCCACTCGACAAACTTCTGGCCCAGAACCTGCCCACGCCCCCCACCTGGCCCCTTCCTGGTCTGCCATTCTGACCCCGAGAGAACTCTGTTCTTGAGCACCCCCCACTCGACAACTTCTGGGCCAGATCCTACCCACGCCCCCCACCTGGCCCCTTCCTGGTCTGGCATTCTCACCCCGAGAGAGTTCTACTCGTGGGACCCCCCACTCGACAACTTCTGGCCCAGAACCTACCCACGCTCCCCACCTGGCCCCTTCCTGGTCTGCCATTCTGACCCCGAGAGAACTCTGTTCTTGAGCACCCCCACTCGACAACTTCTGGGCCAGATCCTACCCACGCCCCCCACCTGGCCCCTTCCTGGTTTGGCATTCTCACCCCGAGAGCACTCTGTTCTTGGGGCCCCCCACTCGACAAATTCTGGCCCAGAACCTACCCACGCCCCCCACCTGGCCCCTCCCTCGTCTGGCATTCTCACCCCGACAGAATTCTGTTCTCGGACCCCCCACTCGACAAATTCTGGCCCGGATCCTACCCACGCCCCCCACCTGGCCCCTTCCTGGTCTGGCATGCTCACCCCGAGAACACTTTTTCCTTGGGACCCATCACTCGACAAACCCTTCGCCCAGACCCTACCCACGCCCCCCACCCGGCCCCTGCCTCGTCTGGCATTCTCACCCCGAGAGAACTACCTTCTTGGGACCCTCCACTCGACAAATTCTGGCCCAGAACCTGCCCACGCCCCCCACCTGGTCCCTTCCTGGTCTGGCATTCTCACCCCGAGAGAACTCTGTTCTTCGGACCCCCCACTCGACAAATTCTGGCCCAGAACCTACCCGCGCCGTCCACCCGCCCCCTTCCTGGTCTGGCATTCTCACCCCGAGAGAACTCTGTTCTTGGGATCCCCCACTCGACAAATTCTCGCCCAGAACCTACCCACGCCCCCCACCTGGCCACTCCCTGGTCTGGCATTCTCACTCCGAGAGAACTCCGTTCTTGGGACCCCCCACTCGACAAATTCTGATCCAGAATCTATCCACGCCCCCCACCTGGCCCCTCCCTGGTCTGGCATTCTCGCCCCGCCGTCGACCTGCTCCGACACCCCCACCCCGCCTTGGGACCACGAATTCTCGCCCAAAATCGACCAACACCCTCCTCCATGCCCCGGCACCTCCACCCCTTGGAGCTTTTGTTTTTGTGGCCCCCCACCCCAAGAAGTCTCGCCCAAAATCGACCAACACCCCCCTTCATGCTCCAGCACCCCCACCCCTTGGAGCGTTTGTTTTTTGGGCTCCCCACCCCACGATGTCTCGCCCAAAATCGACCAACACTCCCCTCCATGCCCCGGCACCCCCAATCCTTCGACCCTCTGCTTTTTAGCCCCATACCTTACGAATTCTCGCACAAAATCGACCAACACTCTCCTCCATGCCCCGACACCTCCACTCCTGGGAGCCTCGATTTTTGGACACCCCCACCCCGCGAATTCTCCCCCCCAAAATCGACCCACACCTCTCCTCTATGCCCCCTCCATGCCCCGGCACCCCCAACCTTTGGAGCGTCGGTTTTTGGATCCCCCCACCCCACGATTTCTCCCCAAAAATCGACCAACACTCCCCTCCATGCCACTCTCACCCCCCACCTGGCCCCTTTCCTGGTTTGGCATTCTCACCCCGAGAGCACTCTGTTCTTGGGGCCCCCCACTCGACAAATTCTGGCCCAAAACCTGCCCACGCCCCCCACCTGGCCCCTCCATCGTCTGGCATTCTCACCCCGACAGAATTCTGTTCTCGGACCCCCCACTCGACAAATTCCGGCCCGGATCCTACCCACGCCCCCCACCTGGCCCCTTCCTGGTCTGGCATGCTCATTCCGAGAACACTTTTTCCTTGGGGCCCATCACTCGACAAACCCTTCGCCCAGACCCTACCCACGCCCCCCACCCGGCCCCTGCCTCGTCTGGCATTCTCACCCCGAGAGAACTACCTTCTTGGGACCCTCCACTCGACAAATTCTGGCCCAGAACCTACCCACGCCCCCCACCCGGCCCCTGCCTCGTCTGGCATTCTCACCCCGAGAGAACTACCTTCTTGGGACCCTCCACTCAACAAAATTCTACTCTTGGGACCCCCCACTCGACAACTTCTGGCCCAGAACCTACCCACGCTCCCCACCTGGCCCCTTCCTGGTCTGCCATTCTGACCCCGAGAGAACTCTGTTCTTGAGCACCCCCACTCGACAACTTCTGGGCCAGATCCTACCCACGGCTATGTTGTCGTCGTCGCCGCCCCGTCGCTGAATCGTCGCCGTCCGTCGTCTGGGCCAGAGTGGCGGTCTGGCGGCTATGTTGTCGCCGTCGCCGACCCGTCGCCACTTTGTCACCGCCCGTCGCCGCCGTTGGATTGCACCACATAGGTTGCCCCACGTAAATTGCACCACATACATTGCACGATTTCGTTTCGCGTCTGAGGCGCGCCGTTGTTTTCCCGAGCAGCATAACTGGACCACATCGAATGTACAATATTACTTGCACGTTCTATAATGCACAACCATGTGTATTTGAACCATATGAGTTGCACCACATAGAACGCATTGTGAATACTGCGCACGATGGCTTGCACGACAAATGCTGCAACATATACTGCACAACGTGCATTGCAGTACGTAGACTGCACCGCGTAGATGGCGCACCAACGATTGCACCACGTAGATTGTCGCACCTGGACACCGTGACCTAAACGCATGTGTGTCATTGTCGCCCCAGCGGCGCGTGTATGTTCACAAACATTCACATGTTAGATACCACCCTGGGCGGCCTGGACACGTGAACACAAAGACCTGGCCAGGAACGGGCAGCTCTAAAGGCAGCCATGCGCCTGGCAACTTCGGCGTCGCCCATTAGCTACAGAACACGACAACACAAAACACCGAAAACAGTACCCCAATTTGGGGTCGGCGGCAGAGGCGGCAGCCTTTAGATAACCGGAGAACACCCGAATATTTCTTTCCGTGAGTGTGAGCAACACCAGCAGGGCGAAGAGTTCAGAGCGTGGGGAGCTCTGACAGGGAGGTGGCAACGTCCCAAAGATACCACTTGCGACTCGGCTTCGTTGACATGGAGCATAACAGCAGAGAAAATGAGGGGTGCGACTGTGATGGGCAAGGACTGAGACCCAGAAAAGTGAAACGCGCTGGGGCGAGAGAGCCATTCTGAACGGCGGGAGCGCATCGCCGATACGAGCACGAGACCAACGCTGCAGCGAGAACACCATTCTGAAACACCGAATACAATCGAATTATAACAAACACACATGGGGTAAACAAATTGTCGGAATCCGGTGTGCAATCTTATACGCGAAGAGGGCCGACCATCTTCTTCACAGAGTCAGGGGAGCGAGGGGAGTGGTACCCATCATGTGTAATTGCAGGGGGTGAGAGAGAGAGGAATACTATAATTACATATTTACATACCTGTATGTATACAGAGAGAGAGAGAGAGAGAGCGAGAGAGAGAGAGAGGCGGAGGAGGAATCAGAGAAGGAAGACCAATTTACAACCAAGAAGCATCAACAATGATGCAAGACATCCTCCGTCCACGCTCCCTGCTCATAGGCCCCTACAAAACTTGACTTTCATTGCGGGAAATGGCGCAATAGGGCACATCCGTCTGAAATTCCGCGATCGTGTCACATTCAAAGGTCCTGGGACTCCAACGTCGAGCATCAACGTGACTGTTGCACCCTGACAACCCTATATCGTTTCAAATGTGCTGGAACTTCAAAGCGGCGAAACCCTGTGAGTACTGGGTCCTGACAATCTCAAGACCTACCAAAACACACTTCCTGGGAAACCTCAACCATACGAAAACCTGTGACTGTTACAAGCTTACAAAACGATGTTACGCGGTACTGAGGCGATAATCGCATTTGAAGACGGCCCGCTCGCCTGCGTTGCAAACTGTTAGGACGCATGTGCACGACGCTTGGACAATAACCACATTTAAAGACCGGCCTGACCACCACCCGTGAAACAACTGCCACGTTTTAAAACTAATGTGCGCGGCGCTGGGGTGATATTTTGATAACGGCCTGAAATCCATCCGTGATGTTGCTGCAATGATTCAAGACGAATGTGCAAAACGCTTGGGCTATACTTTAAACACGGCCTGCACTGCATCCATAAAACTGCAACGCCTTAAAGCGAATGCACGCGGCGCTTAAGCGAAAATCGCATGTTGGAAACGACATACCCCCCCCCCACCCGTGAAACTGCTGCAACCGAGTGAGACGAATGTGCACGGCACTGAAGCGATAACCATCTGTTGAAAACGACCCACCCTCCATCCGAGCAAGAGTTGCGAACTGTTCAATACGAATGTGCATGACGCAAAGGCGAATACAACATGTTGAAAACGGCCCGCCCTTCATCCGTGAACATGTTGCACATGTCAAGCATGAGCGCTACAAGAAATTGTGAGGGCGCCTCAGGCAATACGCATGGCCCGCCCCAGCGGCACGCCTGGGGGTGCGACTGGGAGGACTTATTTGTAAGGAGAAGGGGTGACGCAGGAGGAGCAGCAGGATAAGGAGGAGGAGGGAGGGAGGGCGGGCGGGCGGGAGGGAGGGAGGGGAGGGAGGAGGAGGAGGAGGTGGGAGGAGGTGGGAGGTGGGAGGTAGGAAGAGGAGCGCCGTGCCCGCCCGCCCCCCGCCCTGCCCGCCCACCTCGGGCACCCGCGGCCGCCCCTCACCTGCGGCCCCCGGCCCTGCCGCCAGCAGCCCTGCGTTCCGGGGCCGCCTGGCGGCGCTCTCGAGGCGGAGGGGGCGAGGGCGAGCGAGCGTGAATCCTGCTCTGCTGCGGATACAGCTGGGCCCAGCTGGGCGGGGCGAGACGAGCCGTAGCCCTTGAGGGGGTAGGGAGGGGAGAAGTGGCGGAGGAGGGGGGGGCGGGGGGAGGGAGGGGGGTCGGGGGAGGGGGGGAGGGCGGAGGGAGGAGTGAGTGGAGGAGAAGGATGGACAGGGGGAAAAGGGAAAGGGAGTGGAGGAGGAGAGGGGAAGGAGGAAGAGGGGTGCAGCGGGCAGAGAGGGGGGAGGAGGCCAGGACAGGGGTCGAAAAGCAATTCAACCACATACTTGAAGAGTGTGCAAATTGATGATTTGCTTACACTGTTGTATGATAGATTTGTTTGCTTTTCTTTGTTCCGAGGGCGCGCGCATTTCCACAAACGCAAACAACATGGCTGGGCGATTTGGAGTTCGACTTTCGGGCGCGACCGAGGGGAAGGGGTGAGCGCAGGGGCAGGAGGGGACGAGGAGGAGGGGGAGGAGGGGGAGGAAGAGGAGGGAGGAGGAGGAGGAGGAGGAGGAAGAGAAGGAGGACGCAGCGGCAGCAGCAGTGTGACGGGGGGCCCCGCTGGACGACTTATGGTCGTGGGGCCTTTTTGGGGCGTTCTTCGGCGGGCCCCCTTGACCTCCTGTCGGGGCCCTTGGAGCTCCAAACCAAGCGGGTCCCGAGACGGCTCCAAGAGGGCCCCAAGATGGCTCCAAGAGGGCCCCGCCAGGTCTTGTTTTGAAAGGCGTTCAAACCGAGCTTTTCCATGATGTGCTGGGGCCCTCTTAGCCCCTCGCCCTGGCCTATTTAATCCTCCCTGCCAGCGGCTCGCCCTGGCCGTCCACGCTCTAAGGAGAGCGACGCGCTCGCTGGTAATAGGAGGTGAGGGGTGAGATCAAAATGGAACGGAGAGCCCCCCACCGGGAAATCGGTTTCGGTTTCGTGCTCGTGTCGTGCGTGCGAGGCGAAGCTGCGCAGGCAGGCGAGACGACTGAACCCTCCTCTGTCTAGGGCGCGGCGAGAACGAGAGCGCGCCCCCCCCCCCGCCAGCGTGGCAAGCGGTGGCCGGGGGTGTCCCGCCGTGGTGTCCAAACGGTGTCCCGTGGTGCCCCGTGGTGTTCCGTGGTGTCCCGTAGTCCGTAGTGTCACGATGGTGTTCCGATGGTGTCTTGGTGGTGTCCCCGATGTTGTCCCCATGGTGTCAGGATGGTGTCTCGTGGTGTCCCATCGGTGTCCCGTCGGTGCCCCATCGGTGTCCCGCGGGTGTCCCGTCGGTGTCCCGCCAGTGTCCCGTCGGTGTCCCGTCGGTGTCCCGTGGTGTCCCGTGGTGAGATCGACAGTGAGGTCAATAGTGGGACCGATAGTGAGATCGATAGTGAGATCGATCGTGGCATCGATAGTGAGATCAATAGTGAGCTCGATAGTGAGATCTGTAGTAACATCCAGGGTGAGATCGATCGTGAGATAGACAATCATATCGATTGCCGCAGTGGCCGGCCGGCATCCCCTGCCTTTATCCGATGGGCCACGGCCGATGACAACTACCTGCACCGCCGTCCACCTCCACCGCCGCGGCGACGATCACGGCGACAAAGAAGACGAGGACAAGGACGACGACGACCACGGCGACGAGGACGAGAACGACGACAAAGACGAGGACGACGACGCCGAGAACGACGACGACGACGAGAACGACGAGGAGGACGAGGACGACGGCGGCGGCGGCCGGGCTGACGGCCTCTGGAGGAGTCCTCCGCCACGGCGCCCCGCGCCCCGCGCTCCTCGGGCGTCGCCCGTCGCCGCTGGCCACGCGCCGCGGTCGCCGCCGCCCGTCGGCGGAGTGGTCGTCCACGTTGTCGACACGGTTGGCGACGTCGTGGCCGTCGCTGCCGTCGCCGTCGTCGCCGTCGTCGTTACCGTCGTCGACGTCGGCGTTGTCCTCTAGGACGACGCCGTTGTCCTCTAGGACGACGCCGCTGCCGCCGTCGTCGCCGCCGTTGACGGCGCCGTGGCCGTCTTGGTCGAAGTCGGCATCGAAGTCGTCGCCGTCGCCACTGTCGTCGCCGTTACCGTCGCCGCCACCGTCGTCGCTGACGCCGACGTCGTCGTCCAAGTCGGCGCCGTCGAACACGACGTCACTGTGGCCGCCGTGGTCTGGACCTACGTGAACACCGTCGCGGTCGTCGTTGTCGTCCTCCTGCCTGCTGGCCTCCCACTCGCAGCCCCCGCGTTTGGGCCTCGCCCCCTTCCCTCCTCCTCGCCTCCCCACTCCTCCTCCTCCCCCCCCCGGGCCCTCCCCTGACGCTCTCGAAACGGAGACAGCAACAGTAGCTCAGGGGCGACATGCGCAATGGAACTTACACCCGTCGGGCATGGTCCCCAGTCTCTCCGTCCTCATTGCGGCCATCTCGATCTCACTTCAAACAACGACAACGACGATGAGGGCGATGACGACGGACCCGGAAATCCTCTCAAAATCAGTTCCTGGACCGTCCATCCTGAGCAATCCCCATATTCATGTCTGGCGGTCCAGGGATCGGAAAACGATCTCTAGCAGACGACAACGACGAGGAAGGCGACGACGACGACGACGACTACTACGACGACGACGGAGACGACGACGACGATAACGACAACCAACCCCTGACCCCTCCAAAAAGCATCCTGAGGGCCCCCGAAGACCTTCGACACCAGAGGCCACCCGCAAACTCTCCGAGTCTCGCGAGCCAAAAGCATATCCGTACCCGCGGCCTCGCGGGACTGGCTCTTGGGACATGATCCCGCGGATGCGGAGCGCCTTTTCGCGGATGCCCCGCACGGAACGTAATCCGTGCGACCGCGTATCATCGGGATCGCGCCCCTGACTCTACACCGGGAGGGCGCGGATACGGACAGGCTCGCCGCTCTCGAGACGGTCGCCGCGGACGCCGGCGCCGACGGCGGCGGCAGCTCCTCCGGCGCGGCGGCCCCGGGTCGTCCCCGTTCCTCCGAGGCGGCGCCGCCGCGCCCTCGGGCGGGGCCAAGGGAGGCCCCTCCCTCGTTGTCCTTCTCCTCCTCCTCCTCCTGGATCTCCTCCTTAACATCCTGCTGGTCCTCCTCCTCCTCCTCGTCCTCCTCCTCATCCTGGACATCCTCCTGAACGTCCTGCTGGTCCTCCTCCTCCAACTCCTCCTCCTCCTCCTCCTCCGCCTCCTCCTGCTCATGGTCCTCCTCCTGAACATCCTCCTGGTTATCTTCCTCTTTGTGATGTTTAGCGGCTTCAACTAGCACTAACAACTAGAACCTCACGCGCATCGCACACGCTTAGGTTCTAGCAGGCCTGGTGCCATGAACAAGTTCGCAACTGCACGCGCGCAAGTATTTACAAGCGGGTTCAGCATGTACAGGTTCAGCGCATGCAAACGCAAAGCAATGAGCACAACATAAGTACATTGACGCGAATACAAAATGCAAATCGCTGTCACGTGAACCCGACGCAATGGCAATGCCAAGGCACGCACACATGAAGCCAAACCAGACCCGTTAGAAGTAATGCAATGTTGAATTGCCTACATCCCAACATATTCAGATACATAACCATGGAGACCCAACTGTGGGGTCGCAAGCGCCGCTGGGCTCACGGAATTGATCGAACCTGCGAAGGAGGGAAAAAACAATGAGGGCCAATGACGTTCGGGGGAGGCTGGAAAACCGAGGCGACACATTACACAGGGGATGAGAGGCTTTCCTGCACTCCCTCTCCACTCTTGTGCTTCCACCAATTGCATATGTTACCAGAAGCAAGAATGCCAGGGTGTGCTCAATGCTCTGGAATGCCATCCACCTCCTCTTCCTCCTCCTCCTCCGTCTCCTCCTCCTCCGCCTTCTTCTCATCGTCCTCTTCCCCGTCGTCGTCGTCGTCCTCCTGCTCCGCCTCCATCTCTTTTCCTTCGGGGTGGGTAGGACTGGCAAAATTGTGACATTTCCGCGGTTCTGGAAATATGGGCTGACAGCCCTCCTTGGAAAGGCCTCTGGGAGCACGAGCTGGTACACAATGTGTGGTGCTTATGGAGCGGCCTCTGGTAACACTGGGCGGCCAAGATGCCATCGAGGTTGTGCGACGTAACACATGTGTGGTGAACTTTGTTGCCAGTAATGCATTAGGCTTTGCCTGGTGGGTTGAATTGCTGGCAAGTTGTTCGACACCCCTGTGCAGCATCCCCAATTTCAAGACTCACGCCACAAGACGCCGAGGAATATCAGGGTGGGATTGATGCTCTGGAATGCCTGTGTTTGATACCACCTCCACCTCCTGAAATTGCTCCTCCTTCTCCTCCTCGTCTTCGTCAGATTCCTTCTCCTGCTCTTCCTCCTTCTCGTCCCCTGCCCTCCTCCTCGTCCTCCTCCTCCTCATCCCCGTCCCCTCAACGTGGCAAGGACGGACGATTTCGATGGAATGTAGGCCGACTGCCTGCCTTGGATGCCCCCGGAGAAGGCGTCCAGGACTATGCGGGACATGAGTTTCGATGTTTCTGAAGAAGCTTCTGGGAATCCTTGCACGGCTAAGATGTCAAGGAGAGGGTGCAGCATCTCCTGGATCGCTGATGCAAATCATGATTGATGGTAGTTGCTGACACTATGTTGTATTACGCTTTGGCTGGTGGGTTGCGTTGCTGGCAATTGTTTCATACCCCGTTGCAAGATCCCCGCATTCAAGACTCCCGCGGCAGGACCCCCGGGAATGCCAGCGTGGGCTGAATCCTCTGTGACGCCAACTCCTCTTCGTCTCCCCTTCGAGCGAGAACCACCTTAGGCCTCAGAAGAAAGGCATTTGCCTTACGCACCCGCCGGCTTACATCAATGGTGCCGCCGGGGGTTCGCTCTCCTTCTTCTCCACCAGCTCCACTTGGTCATCTTTCCAATCGCTCTTCTTACTGACTGGGTGAAAAAGAAAAGGTTTCTTCATGGTCGACCGAAGCGGCTGGAGGTTGCAGGGGCAACGCAGTGTGTTTCGAAAATGCCGGCAGCGGGGAGAATGAACAAGAAGCCAAAGCTGTATTCACATGCTGTCCCCGTTTCTCCCGAAAAAGGCTTGGGCCCAAGGTTCTCTGTTAGTTGGTAAACCTGTCCCTGGTGCCTGTATTGAAGGATGCTAGGATGAATAACAAACCAGAAACTGACAGCATGCAGAGCAAGGTACTGATGGCCACACTTCGTTGCGATATCAGTCACAGAGACTGATGGCCACACTTCGCTGAAAGCGCTACAGTTTAGAACAAAATAGCCTTGAGAAACTTCTGAGGTAGCATTGCAGAAATGGAGAAAAATCGAAATCGAAGGACGCGACGGTTTATTGGTGTGGATGTCTCAGGCGAAACGCTGGTGTTTGAAATTCCGCTCCATAAATAAGAGGGTGCGGGGCACTTTGTCGTCGAAGAAGGGCATCCCGTGCGTGCCCGCTCGAGGAAAGTGCGCTAAGGGGATTTCTAACATGAGGTCGCCGGCGTCTTCGCAAATACGTGCGCGGAGGGGATATCGCACATGCGCCTGGCGCCTGGTTTGCATATCCAAACCACCCATAGAGGTATAAAACATGTTTGCCCCGAGCTGCAGCCACATGTTTTCACGTGTCCAGGCCACACTGAGGATATCCAACATAGTGGTCCCGAGCTGGAGCCATGTGTTTTCACATGTCCAGGCCACCCACGGGGGTATCGAGCATGGTGGCCCCGAGCTGGAACCGAGTGTTTTCACGTGTCAAATCCATCCAGGGCGGTATCTAACATGGTTGCCCCGAGCTGGAACCACGTGATTCATGTGTCCAAGCCACCTAAGGGGTGGTTCTAACACGGTGGTCCCGAGCTCGAGCCACGTTTTCCCGTGCCCAGGCCACCCAGAGGGGTATCAAGCATAGTTGCCCTGAGCTGGAACCTCGTGTTTCACCACACACGTTAGCTGTCCGTCCCCGGGCGGCCTGGACACGTGAAAACACGTGGGTTCCTAACGCCCCTGAGCAGGACGTGCGTGAAAACACATGGGATCCTGACGCCCCAGAGCGGGACGGCACATGCCCCTCCCACCTCGACGCGTTCCCTGGCTCGTCCCCTGTCGCGTTCCCTGGTGTCCCCTGGCGTCTCCCTGCCCGTTCCGTGCCGCGTCCCTTGCCACGTCCCCTGACACATTCCTTGGCGCATCCCCCAACGCGCGCCTGGTACGTCCCGTGGCGCGTCCATGCACCCTGCGCCCCGTGTCGTCTCGCCCCGCTTCGGAACTGAGTCGGATCGTGAGCCCGACCTGATTGAGCGTCCCACACGTTTCGACTGCAACCAGTTCTGGGCAAGCTAAGCATTCAGGCAGCTCGAGCTTAGGATTCAGATCAGTTCGGTCCGGATTCATGCGCCAACGGCGACCTGATCCACAACACTGTAGAGCACAACGCAATTCATTGCGGCATGGAACATCTCATTTCAGGACGGCACAGCACAGCACAGTCCTTGGCACGATACATCACAATCGACACCTTGTGCAGTGTAAAAACCTGCCGCCAAATCAGGCGTCTTGAAAACGTAATCACGCTCTCACATGTTTAAATTCCTTTCCTGGGTTCGTGGGTTGATCATGTTGAGACGTTACCAAGAAATCATGAGCGTGTGACCTACGACCGTGCGTGGGGCGCGGGACGCACGCAGTGAGCTCGACGCGTTTACGCCCGAAGCCAACACTACCCTTGAACGCATCCGAGAAGCCCCTGCCACTCCAGAACTCCCTGGAGCACGCTAGACGTTCTGGCAGACCTATGCCCACAGCTACCCCCCCCCTCGGACCCTCCACTCCCTCCAGGACTGCACCTCCAAGGACTGGGCAGAGCCCACGACCCCGAGTCCCCGAGTCGGCCGCGCTAATTGGAGCAAGGCAAATTGAGACCACGGCAACTCAACATCGATCCCCGGACAACGGCAGCTCAAAAATTGAGATAACGGCAACTTAAACCGAGTCCAAAAACACAAATTATCCGAGCTGCGTCCAGCCGTGGCGACGAGGGGGCCCCCTGAGGGCCAGCTACCGTTGCCTCAATTCGCCCTCCTCTGAGCTTAGCAACTGCACGGGAGGCCAAGATGCGAGCGCCCGAAAGAACAAGATCATGGGGCACAACGGAACCCCACCCCGACGCCTCCTCGCGGGCCCTCCGGCAAACCTATTTGGACGAACGAAGTGGGTACGGAAAAAATTGATGCGATGCCCAACAACAAGTCTTGTCAAAAATCGACAGCGGCCGCTGTTGGGCAGGCGGCCTTCTGCTTCAAGCGGCGACACCGAGAGCGAGTCCTGTTCACACTGAACAGGAGCTGGTGTTGATCACCTTTTCCGCACCCATGCCGATCTTCCCGAACCTCCCGAGGCCCCACGAGAGGAGCCCAGCGGCGGGCGCGAAACCCCACGGCCGCTGGGGCGCGCGGCACCGCGCCAGGAGGACGCCTCGGGCGAGCTCCGAGGTCCGCTCGAGAACGGCGGCGGCGAGGGCGAACACGGCAGACCTCCCAGGCCTCTGCCGGAACGCGCCCTGGCCCGGGCTCCTGTTGGGCGGACCCGGCCGTGGCGACGAGGGCATACCCCCCCACGAGGGCCCGACGGGGGGCGAAGGAGGCCGGGACCGCCTCGGACATGGTGGCGGCGAGGGGGAGAATCAGGAAGGGTGCACTCGCACCACATCTGTCATCCTGCCCCTCCCACCCACCCCTTTCCATTGGGCTGCTGCTTCTCTATCTGCCTGCGGGTGCCATAACGGACCAGGAGCTCCAAAGAGGACCCCATCGTGTGATGCGCAATCGGACAAAAAGGACTGCGTACATTTGAGCAGGTGGCGGATGAGCAGCAGGAGAAGCAGGATGAAGGAGGAGGAGGACGAGGACGAACAGCAGCAACAGGAGCTGGAGTGGAAGAACCGGGAGAAGCAGGAGGACCATGGAAAGGCGGAGGAGGGGGACTGAAGGGGACGACAACTATGGAAAAGGACGCGGATCCCAAAAAGTGGCCCGCGCGGGGGCGAGAGAGCCAATGTGAACGACCGGAGCGAAGCGCCGACCCCAAAAGGAGGCCCACGCTGCAGCGGGAATACCATTCTGAAACACAAAAAATCAAGTCAGGGGAAAAAGGAGAGTAGGATTCACAATGCGTGACTGTTGAGGAGGGAGGAGGAGGAGGAGGAGGAGGAGGAGGAGGAGGAGGAGGAGGAGGAGGAGGAGGAGGAGGAGGAGGAGGAGGAGGAGGAGGGGAGAGGAGGGGAGGAGGAGAGGAGGAGGGAGGAGGAGAAGGAGCGGGACGATACCGTTGTGGTGTTGTGGAGGAAGGAGGAACAGGAAGAGGAGAGGTAGGAAGCCCAAACGTACTCCAGGGACGAATTAGCCCCACTGAGGTGTCCCAGCGGCCACGCTTGCAGCCTCGGTGGGCACAAAAACGCAGCCGTGGGGTGTCCCGCGGTGGACCCCGAGGCACCCTCGGCGGGGTACGTCTGTTCTGGGGGTCGTAGAGACGACGACGGCGGCAACGGCGAGAACTGCGCCACCCAGAAGTGTCCACGTCTACAGCTGCTGGAGCATGCCCAGCTTCTGCCCTGGATATCCCACCGCGGCTGGATGTCTGGCGGTCCCGGGTCCTGGGCCCTGGAACCCGAAACATGCCCCTCAGAGCCATTTAAAACGATCGAGAAAAGAGCATCGGAGCCTCGATGACCACGACGACGACGACGACGACCTGTCCTGTGGTGCGCTCTGGACAGATTGGCGGCGCGCAGAGGGGGGTAGGGGCAGGGGGGAAGGCTTCTTCGAAGGAGGCTGCTTCTAAGAAGCCTTGCCCCTTCCCCCTACTCTGCGCGTGGTCGAACAAAATTCGAGGGAAACCCATCCGTGGAAGCGAAATGCGCCGCGAGTGTCCTCCCAAAGCCCCCCCTGAAATCCGACGCCACGAACAACTGCAACATCGCAGAAAATTCCACCATAACCCTGGACCCCATCTGTCTGCGGCATCTGTCAAGCCGCATCGACCAGTGAGGGGGCCCGACACGAGGCAACATCGTTGTGACAAAACGCGTCCACGGCACAGGATCTCAGGGCCACAGCATCTCGTCCCTCGATCCTCGACCCCAGACCCTCGAAGTCGAAATTTTCACAACGTCGACCCCCAGAACTCTCGGCCCATTCCCCAGGACGTCTTTCATCCCGTACCACTCTTTTGGCCGTCCCGGGGCCCGGTGAAGGCCCCCCAAGGCCGGAAATGCGGGAACAACTCCCGAGGCCTGCCCCGAGGCTGCCCCGAAGCCGAAACTACGGAGCCCACACCCCGCTTGTTGTCTCCATGACCCGAGGGGGTCTGGGACCCTCGAGCGATCCACGGCGGCAACGACGCCGCGGGCATCGCCTTGGCGCGCGGCGCACCGTCAGCACTGCGGCCGCCCCCGCCCGGCGGCATGCCGCCGGCTCGGCGGTCGTCGCCCTGGCCTGCGCGGGGGGGAGGCGCGCCGGCGGAGGGCGGCTGCGGCGGGCGAGCGGCGGCGGCGGCGGCGAGGCGCGGCGGCGGGGACGCCGCGAGGATCCGCGGGGCACGAGGGATCGAAAGCTCGGGGCGTCGTTCTGAGTTCACGCAGGGTTGGGCTGGGCTCGGATTCAGCGCTGGGTTCGAAATCTAAGCAGGCTGGGGAGCGGTGCATGCTCATCTGGCACCTTATAGCGTCGCCTCCGGCGGGGTCAGGGTGCTTGACTTACAAAACTCGCTGCCAGAGTCCGCGCAGGAGCTGAACCCACATCGAGGCCCGAAATGGGTCGGGGCGTCGTTCTGCTCGCTGCACCCCATCGGGGCGCTGCACGGGGCGCAGCGCGCGGCACCGGCGGAGGTGGACCCCGGGAGGGGCAGTCCTGGGCGGGCGTCTGGCCGGGGTGTACCGCCGCGGCGCGGGCGGCGCCGCGGCGGCGGCGAAGGACCGGCGGCGGAGCGGCGGGCGTCTCGGGGGCGGCGACGAGGGCCGAGAGGGCAGTGGACACCCTGGCGGCAGCGGAGGGTGAAGGAGGGCGAAGGGGAGAGGAGAGGAGAGGAGAGGAGGAAGGGGGGCATGGAGGGGGGAAGAGAAGAAGAGAAGGAGGGGGGTGGCCAAGAAAAGCCAATAGCGGGGACAGGGAGCGGGGATAGGGAGGGGAGCGGAGATAGGGGATAGCCAATAGAATTCACGAAGGGAGAGGAAGTGGAGGAGGGATAACAGGGGATGCAGTCCTGGGGGGGAGGGGGATGGGGGAGCATGAGGTCGGGGAGGGCGGGGTCTCCTGTCCTGACCCTCTTCACGTGCCCACGGCAGGCGACGCGATGGGCTGTCCTCTCCTCCGCGGCGACGCGGCCGTCGCACCGCGCCAGGGGAGGCCGCTGGGCGGCACTCGCAGGGGGCAAAACGGAGGAGAGCGAGAGGACGCGCGGGCCCGCAGCGAGGCTGGGAGAGAGACGGCAAGAGGCCCCGCCGCCTGCGGCGAGGAGATCGATGCCAAGCCAGGAGAGAGACGGGAGGCGCCTCGCCCGCGCGAACCCTCGGCGCTGCGCGTCCGCGACCTCGGCCGAGAGCTCGTCTGCTCCCGGGCATCCTTCGAAGCCCGGCGCGCCCGACGCGCCGGGGAGAGTGAGGAGGAGGAGGAGGAGGAGGAGGAGGAGGAATCCTGACTCTAAGATCCCACTCGATGCAAGATCACCCAACGTATCAAGAGGAGGCGGAGGCGGAGGAGGAGGCGGAGGCGGAAGATGAGGAGGGCGGCGACGACGATTCAGATGTGCCGACAGGGAGTGCCAACATCCCTGGACCTCTGGCGGGCTGAGATTCTGTCGATCCTTTTGCTCTTCCCTCTGCTTCGGCGTCCGGGGGCAACTTCCTGGACCGGGGCCAGCTCGAGAAGGTCCAGGGTACAGGACCGGTCGGTCCCGGCGAAGGGGCCGAGAGCTCATAGAACCCACGGATCCGGATCGAGAAGCAAACCATCCGCCGGAGGCCTGGGCACAGAGCCCAGAGCTTCTGCAGGCCTGCCCCGAAGCCCCAGCGAACAGCGGTGCCAAGGACATGACATGACAGGCCCTTCGCTGGGGCCCCCATGCCCCACGGAACGATGCCGCAGAAAGGTGGGGTCCCCAAGGCTGCGGTGGAGCATTTTTCTACGATGTGGCAGTCTTTCCGTGACGTTGGGGCTCGCGGCAGGCTGGTTCAGTGTGGAGGTTTGGAAGCGGCTGGGGGGTCTGAGCTGGATGAACCCTTTGGACATCTGCCACGAGAGGGGGATGAGGCTTAATCCGCTCAAGAATCGGTCCCCAAAGCCCTCCCGGAATCCAAACGCACATGTTCTTCCAGCCGCGCCCAGCCGTGGCGACGAGAAGCCCCCATGGGAGGTCCAATAAGGACGAAAAAAGGCAGGAATCAGTGCTGGGCCACCTCAGACCCCCGGGCTCCACTTTTCTTCTTTGCTGTTCTTCGTTGCTTGCTCGCGAGGGGCCGCCAATTCAGACCGACCTGGCATTCAGACCGACCGGCCTCGGGGTGTCGGCTGAAGCCCAGACATTCAAGCGCGCACTTGCCCGGTCACAGACGTGAGCGAGGGCGAACGGCACGCGCGAGCAAAAAGTGGCGTGCGTTTGCACGGCTGGTTGAATGAAGCAGCGGGCCCATGTATCTTGCGCATGCTGATGCCATGTCTGCGGCCCTGCCTGCCATCGTGCTTACAGGCGCCAGGGGAGGCGCGGAGCCAGGCTGACCACCGAACTCCGATGATGACTGGCCCGCGCCGCTGTCAGCACCAGTGCTGCGACATGGGACACGTCAATGGCGCCATGCGGCCTCGAAGAACACAGCGCCACCAGCCTCATGGAACATGTACAACAGCCCACGCGCTGCTGATCTGAACCGCTGCCACCTCAAGGTGGTGCTATCTATCCCCACGAAAACCCAAACTGGCTGCCCGTGCCCTTCGGAAAATGGCAGGCCGGGTAAACATCACCACGGTCGGTAGGAACGCACGCAACTTCCCGCTGCTGTCGTCATCTTAGGCTCCGCCTGTTGCCATTTTGACTGCTTGCACGAACTTCAAATGCAGATCTATTCTCATCTGAGATGCCCCCGCACAGGCTTGCTTCGAAGCCTATTTAGCTTGAGAAAACAGCTGACAATAGAAGGCCATGTTTGAAAGAAACCTATTTGACTCGAGTGGTAAACAACGGAGCAGGGGATGATAGCATACGAGACATAATGCAAGAGCAAGGAAAGAGAGGGACCATCCACCTCACCTTCCTTTTCACACAATGAGAATGCACCCCTTCGCCCCGTCACCAAACATCCGCTCAAATGTTGTTGGTGCGCAAGGGAAGCGCCTTGCAACCGACCGCGCAAGAAATATGACATGCCACAGTGCCCCCGCTGCTGGTTATTCGGGCTTCTTGCTCCCGCTGCACATCTGCACAATCTTCAGGCAGGCGTAGAAATCGTCGCGCAGCTGCCGGTCCGAGAAGCGGAGGAACCTGACCCTGATCTCGCTGTCGAGCTCGAGACCCAAGCAGGAAGCACTGTGGTCGGCCAGCTCCGGCACATGGCCCTTGAACGCTTCGCCCTTTGTCACAGAGCCGATGTCGTGGACGTCCCACCTGCTCTGGGCAGAAGGCAGGCTGGAGGCTGATCGAATTTATTTCCGAGTCCATTTTGAAGACGGCCTGGCAGACGAGCCGCGACACTGGGTCCATGAGCTCCACGCGGATGCCCTCTGCGGCCCCCTCGCGGAACTCGGCCATCAGGCTGATGGCCGAGTGGGCAGGACAAGTGGTCGCGGGAGCAGCGGCTGAGAGAGCTGCTCTCTCAGCCGCTGCTCCCACGACCACTTGTCCTGCCCGTCGCGCTTGCAGGCCATGGTCGACTTGGTAGACAGAGGGGAATGCAGGGGATCCTGCTGCCGGTCCCCGGGCACGGCCGTCGTGGCCATCGGCGAACCGCGCCGCCCGGCTCGGCAGCCGCACTGGTGCGCAGCCCTCTGCGTCGGGAGGGGGGCGGGGCAGGGGCCCAGCGCGGTGCGCAGTCGCCTCGCGGACCTCGAGCCAGAAGGACTTGAGCCAAAGTGGCTACGGAAGGCCCCCAGGCTCTTCTTCTCACTACATATCATTTGGATGACGAGCCCACCCCCCCCTCTGCGGCCCCCCCTACCACAACCACATCGAGGGCACTTTGTCCACCAGCCCCAGAAGGTCGCCCAGTGGCGTAGGAAAAAAGAAAGCAGCAGTGGAAGGAATAGCAAGATGAGGAGCAAGCAACTGCTGCAAGCAGTGCAAAGCGGGCACGGCCGACGGCCGCAAACTGGCGCCCCGGCATCGAGAGCCCACCCTGGGAGATGTCCTCATTATGACAACACTCGTCAGGACACCGACACCAGCTTGGCATTTGTTCTTGTAAGTACGGGCGTCCCAGGACGGCCAAGGCGAATAGGATCAGTACGAAGTGTTCATGTCGAGGTCCGTGGGTTCTCCCCCGAGGGCCCTCCACAAAAATGAACAGACCCTGTCGGCGTGTGTGAAAGGCTTTCCCGTTTGAGTCGTCGTCTTCGTCGCCGCTCACCCTCACACGTTCCAGCCAGTGGGACATCGAACAACGTCTTAATCGAGTCGAAGGGAAACCCTTTTCTTTGATCCCTCCCCCGCTAAGGGAGGGGGGTCCTGGGGTGGGGCCGGGGATTGTGACCCACTCCCCCGAGGGGTGCACCCCTCCCTTGGAACAACTTTTGGGCTCCAGAGCGTTGCGGTCGTCGTCGCAGCCGCTGTCGCTGTCGTCGTGGTAGTCGTGGTCGTCGACGTCGTCGTCGTCGCCGCCGCCGTCGCCGTCGTCGTCGTTGTCGTCCCCCGTTCAGGGTCGGCGGCGCCGCTCGCAAGGCATTCGCAAAGTATACTTAGCTGTGGTTGTGGTTCTCCGTTGTGCCCAGACCCCCGCCTGCTGTGGCAAATCATGGGGCCCTCCCAAACCATCTGGTCGACTCTTGCGAATCGACGCAAGTCGACGCTAATCGACGCGAGTCGGCGCTCCCATGCTTTGCTACCGGCCTCCCGACCTCCCCCCTCCCTCCGTCGCGGCGCCAGCCGCCCGCGCCCTCTGCGGCACGCCGCCGCGTTCCGGTCGCGGCGCCCGGTCGCACGCGCCCTCGTCGCCGCCGCGGTCGTCCTCGGCGCTCGGCGACCGCGCTCGGCGACGATGGCAAAGACGACGGCGGCGACGACAACGGCGGCCGCGGCGTTGAGGACCGAGCTGTTCTGACATTTTTCGCCCGCCAGGAGGCTTCTCGAGGAGGCGGCCGGGTTCGCCTGGAGATCCTTGTCGGAAACCAGCCCTGGGCTGATCAGTGGCGCCGGTTGAAAAGAGTATTAATAATAGTACGAACAACACTACGAATGCAGAACATACAAAGAATAACACTGATACAACAACAAATAGTAGTAACACTAATGCTACTAAGACGAACAAGAAGAAAAATAATAAGAAGAAGAATAAGGGTAATGCTAAAAAAAATAGACTGACACTAAGAATGATAGAAGTACTAGTGTACTAGTGACGACAATAATGATAATACAATAAAAAAAATGAAGAAGTGCCAGCACCATCGGCCGCCGCGTCCGCTGCCCTGGCAGCGCTGGAAACGATTGCCCACCCCCCCTGCGCCTCCACTGCCTGGTCCTCCTGCTCCTCGTCGTCATCGTCTTCATCATCCCTCTCCTCGCCCTTCTCCCCTTCCAACTGCCCCTCCTCCTCCTCCTCCTCCTCCTCCTCCTCTTCCTCCTCCACTCCACTCCCTCCCTCCACCCTATCCCCCCCCCCCTCCCTCCAGCCAGCGAGAAGGGGGAGGCGGCAAGGATGCACGAGAAACCTCCTCCCCAGCCGCCGCCGCACTGCTCCCTCCCGGCTCGCCCGCCTCCACCGCCGCCGTCGTCTGCCTGCTGCGGCCTCCGGGCACCGTGGCCGTCCAACTGACCTGCACAACTCTGCGCGTCGCGGCCCGAGGCGCGCGATGCGCGGCCAACCGCGCCCGTCGAAGGGGCCACCCCGGGGGACAGGGGCGGCCCTGCGGCTGCGGCCATGCAGGGCCGCGACGCGCAGCGAGCGACTCCTCTCCCGCCTGCCGGCGACCCGGCCCTCTGGGCGAGCTTCCGCGCGCCTCCTTCCGCCTCCCTCCCCTCCCCCCCCCCCCTGGTCCTCCTTCCCTCCTCCCCCCTCCCCTCGCCAGACCCCCGAGGTCATAATGTAGTCACAACGCCGGCCTCCAGAGGTCGAGTTCCCCGGGACTGGTTTTTCATCCTTAGGTCCAGAGGCCTGGTACCAGAAGCCGACAATGGCGAGACACCTTCCGTCGTGCTTTTCTCCATGACTCGAGGGGGTCTGGGTCTCCCCCCCCTGGTCCTCCCACCCTCCTCCCACCTCCTCCCTCCCGCCCCCTGGTCCTCCTTGTCCTCCACCTCCGAGTACGAGTAATAATCGTAGTCGTCGAAGACCGGCGCGCCCTTGGCGCCGTGGTCCCTGTCCGCTTCTGGTCGAGCCTCCGCCGCATTCCACCGCCGTCGGGAGGTGCCAGAAGGGCGAGGGAGGGGGGGGGGGAAGATAGAGGAGCGGGGCGAGAGGAGGAGGGGGATGGGGGAGGAGGAGGTGGAGGACCACGACATCCAGGATGTGTCAGCCATGCTGCAACGCACCCTTCCGTCCCAAGCTGCGGGAAGCGCCCTCCTTGAATGATGAGCGCCCGGTGGGCCTGTCACACAGGCGAGGCCCCGTTCAGTCAAGGATCCACCCTCCCAGCAGACGCCAGCGCAAGAAGGTAGGAGGACAAGCGTCGATGAGGTGTCCAGCGAGATCCCCGTTTGGGGTCAATGTCAGACCCTCCATTCGCACGCGTTGGAAGCCCTTCTCATCAAAAGTGGGGAAGTCTCAAGCGAGAACCACTTGTTGGAAAAAGAACCGCATACAATTCGGAAAATCGGTTCATTCGAATACATATCAACCGAGACCCAGATTGTGAAAACGAATCGGGTGCGCGGCGCTACGGCGACATTCGCATTTTGACACCAACAGGACTCGATCCTTCTCACTGAACGAAGCGTGGCGCAAAGGCGAAAGCCACTTGAGGATCTATCTGCCCTCCTTTCTTCTCTTGGAAACGTTGAAAAAGAATGGGCGTGGCGCTGAGGCGAGAGCCGCATGCCGAAAACTACCAGCACCACACCCAGCTCACCGATAGAGGATGACACTTCAAATGTGAGCGGCGCTGAAGCGAGCACCACTAAAAAACAAATCGACCTGTCCCCCCATCCGTATAACTGGTAAAAACTGCTCAAAGCGAGTGTGCATTGTGCTAAGACGAAAGTCGCATTTGGGAATCGACCTGCCCTCCATCCATTGTGACACTGGGGAACGTTCGAAACGAATGTGCACGGCGCAAATCAGAAATTCGCACTTCCGAAAGCAACGTCCATCCGTCCCTGCCAGTGCTGTATGATCTGAGCGTCAGGATCGCAAACTTGTACCACAGAAGGCTCAAGCGAAACGCCCAGCCTGGCCAGTCGGCAGGCCTGGTGGGGTTACAGCTACGCTTTCCGAAAAAGCATGAGAAGTAATGGAAGCAGAGGAATAGGTACAGGAGGAGTGAGGAGGGCGGGGAGAAGAAGAGGGGGGAGGATGGCGGAGGAGAGATAATGAACATCAGGAGGAATAGGGAGGATGGAGGGAGAGGCTCCCAGGAAGAATTGGTGCGTTTGAGGCTATTCTGAGGCGCGAGGGGCCCTCATGCCCATCCATCGCATCGTTCGACCTGTGCAAAGTCTGCGATGATCCTAGCGCTCCAACCTGACAAACAAACGCCATCCTCCCTTGCGATCTTTGCATCCCTCTTGTATTCTCCCTCCTTTGCCTTCATCATCTTCCCAGCCTCGCAGGAGGCAGAGAAGGAGGGATAATGCGTAAGGACAACGTGGGCGAGGAGAGGGGCAAATACAAAGGATGGCGGAATAGGAGTGGGGTGAAACGGGATGAGAAATGGATGGGGGAGGAGGGAGGAGAGAATCAGGACGGAGGCAGGAGGAAAGGGGACAGGAGGGAGGGAAGTCGGAAGGCCGAAACCAACCATCCATCCCTCCACCCCTCCCTCCGCCTCTCCACCCGCCTCGCTCTTCTCCAATCCCTCTGCGTCCTTTCCCCGCCCCTTCTCCCTCCCCCATATCCATTGTCTCTCGGCCAGCTGCCCCTCCAGCAGCCCGCCGACTCGGCCCCAACTGGCACGCACGACGCCGCGCGGTGCCCCCCTTTTCTCTCCCCCACACACACACACACGCGCGCGCGCGCACGCACACTTTTTTGGCGTCGGGGCCCCACGCGCGGCGACGGGGCGTAGAAAGTCGAGTGCAAGCAGTGGTAAGTGCGAGTCTGCGCCGGGTCGAGCTTTCAGAGACCACTTAAGGGAGACACAATCACACACACACACACATTCACACACACACACACACACACACTTTTTTCGTCGGCGGTTGGGCAGAGGTCGCTGCTCCGACGATCGGGCATCAGTGGGGCGAGTTAGATGCAAATTGGGCCGCAATGCACGGGATGAGAGAAAGAGACCACGGCGCAACGGGAAGAGAGGAAACCGGGCCCGACACATACAGACACAGACACAGACACAGACACAGACACAGACACAGACGCACACGCACACGCACACGCACGCACGAGCACGCACGCAAATACACACAAACAGACGCACGCACGAGCACGCACGCAAATACACCGAGCCCGACCTACCACGACCCGTGGGCGGTTCGGGGGACAAACCAACGACCCAGCGGCGCAGGGCACGAGGCGTGGCGCAGGGGACGGCCTTCTGGCCTCCCGCGGCCTTCTGGCCTCCCGCGGCCTCGCTGCCCATGTACGGGTCCGAGACGACCGCCGCCGGCGTGGCGCTGCCGGCGTCGTCATCCTCGTAGCTGTAGTCGTACAGTTCGTCATCCTCAAGGCGTCCGAGACGGGGGGGGCGGTCCAAGGAGGGGGGCTGGGGTTCGCAAACTCAGGGCCCGAGGCACGTGCGCGAACGAGGGGGGCTGGGGGCCAGAGGACGCATTGAGAGAAGAAGGGAGGGCGTTGACATCGGGGGCGATGTCATGGCCCCGGGCAGGATACTCCCCCTTGTCACCACCCCCCTCTTGGACGCCCCCGTCATCTGCGTCCTCCCTCCCGCTGTCTCCGTTTGGCTTCGCGCGTCTGCTGCACATGCAGTCTGGCCCCGTCTGGTCTGAGCGCACCCTGAGCTGTCGTCCGCCCCAACATCATAGGTCAATGTTCGTTTGGCGGTCACGAGCCTTTCCTACCAATGTTCGTTTTGCGGTCACGGGCCTTTCGGGGACAGCGAGCGCAAACACCTTCTCCCCGCCCCTCTCCCAGAAGCGCGAATTCGACAGGAGCGGGCACATGCGCACTCGGGATTGAAATCAGCCCAGCAACGCGCAAGGGTAATAACAGGAGGGGGGACCAGGGAGGGGGTAACCACCATCATCGAGCAGGCATGCAAGAACGCACCGCGATGGCATCCTTCTGATGGGAGCATGTGATATCCCATTAAAGGATTCTGCCAGGGGGAACTGTGACCTCATGCATCAAAACGCCATTCGCCGTGATTAAGTTAAAGGGCGATACTCACAAAACCAACTGCAGCTATTATGAAGCATCCCGACCCCTCCCTGTTGGCAAGAAAAACGGGAAGGCGGAGGAGGGTGCATGGGGAGGAGAAGGGGAAGACGTAGGGGCGAGAAACATCGGGAGGGGTGATCACCCCCAGACGGTTTCCCCATCCCATGCGACTGCCTTCAAAACGAGAAGAACACCCAGGACAACGACAAACGGCCCCGACCGTAAGCGTGAAAGGAAATTACGCAGCAGCTGGATATCGTCAGAGTGACATCGCATGCCCCGTCCACCTCGCCCACCCGTCTCTTTCCGAGACCCTGCTCATCCGCCCCCCTCGTCCGCCCCCCCTCCCTCCACCACTCCATCATTCCCTCGTCCGCCCATTTGCACCTCCGACCCCCGTCGACCATCCTCCTGCCAATGTTGTCCTAGACCCGTCTACTACACCGAGGCCTAGCGCCCCCCCCCCCAGAGGCAGACGAGAAGCATGAGTATGCAGACACTCTGGATGTCTTGGAAAGGCGCTCTGTACACACTTTCACTCTCCCTCATTCTCCTCTTGTCCCCCTCCCTCTTGCAGAGGAGCTTTGCGCGCACTGAACACAATCGTGCGCAGGCGCGTAGGCGTAGGCGTGAGCGGCTCGCACGTGTGAGAGCACACCACATACGCACAGTCGCTCCTTGGACTGCCGACTCCCGGCTGCGGAGTCGGCCTCTTTGATCGAGCATCGTAGGCACGTGCGCGCCGATGCCTGGAGGAACCATTCGCACAACACCCCTCGGACTGGCACCGATGCGCGCCGCTGCAGGGCACACAGTACAAGAGCGATGCGACGTGACAAGTTGCAACACAGCAGGGGTCGTGACAGGTGGCAGTCGAGGGTGTGACTCGAGGAGTCGTGAGTCAAAGGGTAATGGCGCTCAAGGCCTCCTTCGACAATTTGCTGGAATGCTCGGCTGGCACGGTGGCGGGTCTTGTCGCAGGCAGCTGGATACGATCCTGAAGCTTGGAGGTTGCAACAATTTCAACGATAAGGGAGGTGAACGTCAAAATGCGGCTCCCGCAATAGCGCCGCACAATCGTCTTACAAATTTGCAGATGCTTCAACCTAGAAGGCGGCGCATTTTCAAATGCATGGCTCTCGCCGTAACGCCGCGGGCATGTGTCCTACACGCATGCGACAGCTTCTGTGATGAATGCCGGCTCTTTTTCAACATGCAGTTATCGTATGAGCGCCACGCGGACTCGTCATAAAATTTGAAGTCTTTTGACGGATGGAGGACGACTCTGCTTCAAATGGGGCGCTGGCTCTAGACGTTCTCGAAGCAAGTGGCCAAAAGTGTCTGTGCGATCATACCTCCTCGTGTGCTCCATCGCGAGAAGGGTGCGACGCAGTTCCTTTTCGAAAGGGGGCTCTCGCCCGAATTGCAAGCCCATGAAGCGCTGGCCCTGTCTTGTAGCAAAGGCGAAGACTTGTAGGGAGCCGCGAGGAGGGGACGCGGGACGGGAGGGCGGAGTTAGAGGACAGGGAAGACGCATCAACACAAACTGTCGGAGGTCCGCGCGGATTGCCTGGACTGCCGCTGGACCCCCTCCCTGGCGCGAGGAGCGCGCCAGGGGCGGCACCGAAGGCGCCACCAGGGGGGCCCGACGCCGCTCCTAAGGACCTGACCGGACAGGAACGGAAAGCGTCCTTGTGTGTCCTGGGCTTATGAGATATCCTACGTTCTCTGGAGGATGCCTCAAGCGAAATCGTCATTTGTGACATAAAACGTCTTTAACGATATCCCCCAAGATCCCGGTGTTGTGAGGATGTCTCCAGCGAAACACTCCTTTTTCAAACCTTTCCGGGAAGCGCGTGAAAGAGAACAACTGTGAGAAGCATGTGCACGGGCCTCCTCGTGGTCGCTTCTCGGGCAACGTGTCCACCAGGGACTTGGGTAAGGAAGGGATCAGGAATGTAGGAAGTCGGAGTCAGTTATCTCTCGCCGTTTCTAGCATCATGTTTTAAATCCGCCGACCCTGTCGGCGTGTGTGAGGGGCTTTTCCGATCGAGCCGTCATCTCCGTCATTCTTTGTACTCGTCGTCTCTGTCCTTCCCTTTCCCTGGGAGACCTCTTCCCCTGGGCTCCAGCCAAGCCGACCTTGAGCAACCTCGTAATTGAGTCGAAGGGAAGCCCCTTCCCTTTGATCCCTCCCCCGCCGGGAGGGGGGGGGGGTGTCGACCCCCCCCCCGGGTCAGATACGACGCCCCCCCCTGGGACTCCTCTTCCCCTGGGCTCCAGCCAAGCCGACCTTGAGCAACCTCGTAATTGAGTCGAAGGGAAGCCCCTTCCCTTTGATCCCTCCCCCGCCGGGAGGGGGGGGGGGGTGTCGACCCCCCCCCCGGGTCAGATACGACGCCCCCCCCTGGGACTCCTCTTCCCCTGGGCTCCAGCCAAGCCGACCTTGAGCAACCTCGTAATTGAGTCGAAGGGAAGCCCCTTCCCTTTGATCCCTCCCCCGCCGGGAGGGGGGGGGGGGTCGATACGACGCCCCCCCCTCCTCTTCCGGTTGAGCAACCTCCGAAGGGAAGCCCCTTCCCTTTGATCCCTCCCCCGCCGGGAGGGGGGGGGTGTCGACCCCCCCCCCGGGTCAGATACGACGCCCCCCCCTGGGACTCCTCTTCCCCTGGGCTCCAGCCCTTGAAGCCAAGCCGACCTTGAGCAACCTCGTAATTGAGTCGAAGGGAAGCCCCTTCCCTTTGATCCCTCCCCCGCCGGGAGGGGGGGGGGGTGTCGACCCCCCCCCCGGGTCAGATACGACGCCCCCCCCTGGGACTCCTCTTCCCCTGGGCTCCAGCCAAGCCGACCTTGAGCAACCTCGTAATTGAGTCGAAGGGAAGCCCCTTCCCTTTGATCCCTCCCCCGCCGGGAGGGGGGGGGGGTGTCGACCCCCCCCCCGGGTCAGATACGACGCCCCCCCCTGGGACTCCTCTTCCCCTGGGCTCCAGCCAAGCCGACCTTGAGCAACCTCGTAATTGAGTCGAAGGGAAGCCCCTTCCCTTTGATCCCTCCCCCGCCGGGAGGGGGGGGGGGGGTGTCGACCCCCCCCCCGGGTCAGATACGACGCCCCCCCCTGGGACTCCTCTTCCCCTGGGCTCCAGCCAAGCCGACCTTGAGCAACCTCGTAATTGAGTCGAAGGGAAGCCCCTTCCCTTTGATCCCTCCCCCGCCGGGAGGGGGGGGGGGTGTCGACCCCCCCCCCGGGTCAGATACGACGCCCCCCCCTGGGACTCCTCTTCCCCTGGGCTCCAGCCAAGCCGACCTTGAGCAACCTCGTAATTGAGTCGAAGGGAAGCCCCTTCCCTTTGATCCCTCCCCCGCCGGGAGGGGGGGGGGGTGTCGACCCCCCCCCCGGGTCAGATACGACGCCCCCCCCTGGGACTCCTCTTCCCCTGGGCTCCAGCCAAGCCGACCTTGAGCAACCTCGTAATTGAGTCGAAGGGAAGCCCCTTCCCTTTGATCCCTCCCCCGCCGGGAGGGGGGGGGGGTAGCGACCCCCCCCCCGGGTCAGATACGACGCCCCCCCCTGGGACTCCTCTTCCCCTGGGCTCCAGCCAAGCCGACCTTGAGCAACCTCGTAATCTCTTGCTGCGCATTGCGAACAGGGTCGGCGGCACCGGCCGTCAGGCCTTCGCAATATCTGTCTGTACTTGTGGTGCTATGGACGTGGCTGACCCCAACCCCTATAGGGGTGCCCCCTCTTGTGACTCTGGGGGAGAAGAACCAGTGGGTGCTGTGGGAGGTGCGCCTCTGTTGGTGTCTCACGGGTCTTCTTCCGGGTCCTTTGATCAGATCGGGGGCGGGAGTGCACAGTCCCTCGAGGGCGATACGACGGCGAGGGCGGTTGGGCCTCCGGGCCTTTCCCTTGCCTCGCGTCCTGAGAGGGCAGGCGGTTTCGCCTCTGGTCCGGGGTTTTTCTGCCTGTGGTCATGGGTCCGCACGTCGCGGCGCCGACCAACGACAGATGGGTCTGGCCAGGATGGGAAAGCGAGCTGGGGCGTGGTGGTGGTCTGGCGGATTGAAGACCCGGGGCTCCCCGGGCTAGTCCCGGACTATGTCCTTCATGCTCCTGTTGCGAGTCGTGGATGGGATCATAGGTGGCTGGGGGCCCCGTGCCAGACAAATAATACCGCAGAGCTTTCGGCTATTGGCGAGCTGATGCATTGGTTGCTTGAGGAGGCCCTGATGATGGGCACGTGCCAGTACACGTGCGGTATGATTCGGGGGCACGCGGCAAATATAACACGCGGCCTATGTGAGGCCAAATCGAATGAAGAGCTT